CTAAAGATGCATTAAATTTAGGTTTCAGTGGTGTAATGCTACGCGGATCTGGTATTTCATAGGATTTACGTAAAACACAGCCTTAGAAATTTATAATCACCTCAAAAGCTGATTCTCATATAGGTTTATTACACAGAGGAACTGAAAAATTGATAGAATATAAAAATTATATACAAGCGTTGCCATATTTTGATAGATTAGATTATGTTCCAATGATGTGTCAAGAGCATGCTTATGTTTTAGCTATTGAAAAACTATTAAGTTGATTTACCTTACTTTCGTCTGACGGGTAAAGTACATTTGCAACTTCACCACTAATCAATAATTTTAGACAATGACCATCGAAAGCTGAGGGTGAAGCAGAGTCTTACGCAAAGCTTGTAATGAATGAGGGTGAGCAGAGCTTTTTATACAGTTTGAAGGCTGGGACTTTGTGTCGAATTCGTTGACAGGGCCGGTAATTAACAAACATATTAGCAAATGGTTTCAAAATGATGTTATTGCTTACAGACAAGTTAAGAGATCGGAGCAAATTCGACAAACACCGCGAAGGGCGCGGTAAACGAAATTGATACATTTAAGATACAAAGACCCTTCAAATGGTGCATGAGCCTAAACCAGCGCACAATTTGATCATGAGGTAAACGACATTTCCAATTCAGACAATAATGAAAAGTTATAATAGAATTAGCTTTAAGTGATACGATGTGTGAGTAGCTTACAACAAACTAATATATTGGAACAAGGACTTTAGTCGGTCGAAGCCAATTTCGAATATGACTGCTAATATCACAATCACTGTAGCAAAAGTTTGGTTCTTAAAACCAAAAATAGATTCACGTGCTTTAACTGATATTCCATTCGGTAAGTTGTATATAATCTTGTAGCTAAGCCCCCATGCAGTGAGCTTCGACAAAAAAAATTGAGACGACCATAAGCGTTGTGCAGTAGCAATCAGTGATTTTTGCTACCTGTACATTCAGAACGTCCGGAAAGGATTTTCCAGCGAATTACAAGCAGAAACAGATAACCTTAAGGAATACGTTTACGGCAAATGCGAAGGTCGCCTGTCTAATCGAGAATTTGCTTGAAGTGCGTGAGATACAGTCACTCACCTCTCTCCCAGCAAAGATGTAGTCCGAAAACAGCGGCTTACAGTCACTTATACCCCTTGAATTTTCAAATTTTGCTCACGATGCCTAGAAGTGTTAGTCAAGATTATCTCGAACAGTCTCGCAACAACTTTGTACCCGCACCATTCGCGGTTTTGCCTTCAAACACAGGTTGATCCATGACTCACCAATGCTTCACTAAAAGAGAAGCGCGTTGCGCCAACCGTCGAGTCGGCTTGTGCTGATTCGGCCAGGCTATACCTCGGATTGGAGCCGACCATTCCGCTTACATCCCATCTGTGAGTTGTTTACCTCCATAAACTGCGCACGGTAGGGCCTTTATAGGCAGTGCAATGTCTCGCGACATCTGGTACCCATTCTGAGATATGGGGCATCACACCTTTGACACGCATTCTCGTACACAGTCTCATACCTGGAGATTGCTTACACAATTCGCTGTTGCTTAGTTTGGAGCATGTTCATGACCACATCGACTCCAGGCGAAAATTCACCCGTCTTTGCCCTTAAACGACAAATTGAGCATACGTGACTCAATCTATAAAGCTCTATATGGTCCCGTGACGATTCCGTCGGCATCGTTCTGAAGGTTACTCGCAGCACTTTTGTGCAGTTGATAAATGGCTACTGCGAGAGGTGACCAATCTCGATACTTTGGCCACTAATTGCTCCACCCCGCAAGAAGACGAAAGGAATCGCTTATCAGTGGTGTATTTTTGTCATGAGCTATTTAGCAAACCATCCGATGTTTCATCCTTGCTGAATTTACAGCAACTACTACCAAGTCGTTTTGTTGCACACCTTGTACAGAAGAATTCGTGACTCTTAAAGACGGATTTACCATCTCATCCAGTAGGGGGTCGAAGGCCTTCGCCAAGTCCCCCACATGTCTCTCACCTTCCCCAATTCGCGAATTGGAAGTGCAATGTTTAAAATTAAATTTTGCTGTAATGACACCTGACATATATACTATCGATAGCACGAAAACCGTATCCAACGTTTTGTGTATTTCTAGCAGCCAACACGTCTGACAGACGGATATCTCCTATTTGAGAAACTATCTATCCCGCCCCGTATCGTTATTAATCATGGTGATCGGCGTCTTTTTTCATTATGGTACTTCGCTTTTCGCATTCAGTCCGAAGGAAGCATATACCCACTTTGATATGTCAGTACATATAATCATTCCTTTTTACAAATACATTATCGTTGGGGTGTGCTTGGAAGAAGTCGCATGATGGTAAAATCACCTATACGAATCGATAGTACCGAAGGGTGAACTGAGATCATCTTCCGTCATGGTTGAGCTCCTCGTTGTCAACAGTCGAGCTGTTTTGGGTATGAGGAGTGAAGCAGCAATTGTCAGTAAACCAATCGATGTTGTGTCATTAGTTGACGAAACACATCGACGAGGCGACAAGGTACTCACAGCGGTTAATGAATCCGGATTGAGGAGAATTTCACTAGTTTCTTAAGCCGATCACTGCATGATATGCCGATGGCCCATATGTAAGGAAGTGCCTGACGCTGTACACGGTTTCTTCCATTCAAATAATGAAGCGAGTTTTGTGATAGGTGAATCTCCCACTCGACTTTGATTTTATCTGCGTCAGAAAGGACAGCTGAGGATGGCGAAAGATTCAGACTTCGTTATGCTAAATACAGCCATCATTCTAGCACAAACGCCAAATCATAGTAAGGATGTGCTGTCGAATAGGATGGTGACGTGTGACCATTTCCAGCCGATGGTCAGACGTAACGCATAAATCGCGTGATTGAGGGCTTTCTTGATAACTTGCGGGTGATATAAGCGCAGTGTTGGAACGACAAACTCATAAGGAGTCAGCGCTGCTAGTGAATTGGCCAAATCAAAATGGTTTGTATCCTGTCAATTTGATGCAATCTCATTGAGTACCACGAAGTGGTAGTAGTCATTTGGAGGGTTGCTGTCACTACTCATCAACTTACTGAGATTAAAACGGCTACATTTGGGATGATATTCGATAATGTTTTACAATGTAACTAAGCGCCATATGCCGATTGCGGAACCATGTGACTGGCAGTCAAGATACACAACAGCACCAAATTCATTGTAAAGTCAAATGAAACGCTAAACTCTGATACCGATAATACGTAATGCTGAAGCACACTAAAAAATCGCAGGTGCAGTGTCTGCAGTTCTGGAGGATAAGTAAGTTACACCCTGATTGTCGGTTTTAGATAAGGAGAGTTCAAACATCGCGTGCTTAATGTCAGTTTACTATAACCGTGTAACGATTTCGCCCATAAGAGCCAACCAACCGCGATGTGTACTGTGATAGACGTGGCTATGTCTTAACAGACCCTGTTGCTAAGCTCCATAGTTGGGATCCGGCTCCAAAACGTTTGGAGGTAGTCGAACCGTTTGTACAGCTCTGATAGGAGGTTAGAAAGACGACCGGTGTCTGTATCGGCTGCATATCCAAAACGCCCGTCTAAAGTCGTCTTGCCTCTGCAACCCAAAAGACGTACGGCCAGCGACACGAGAATCGTTACTTTTTTATCTCTATCATGACCGAAGTGAAGGCATTTACTAGGTGGGACCGATTGTGATTTTGTGTGTTTGCAAGGAATATATTTAGTACCTGGTGAAAAAAGTTGACTAGAAGACGCTAGGAAGCTCGAAGCTCTCCTTTCGCAATATATTTGCTGGTCGTTGGTGCTTGTTGTTTTCTCGTACTCTCTCAGCCCCTGCATGTGGTGTTCCAGCTTGTTGGACGGTATGGTGCATAGGCAGACCTATTTCGAAGAAACATCTGTTTATTAACGAACAAAGCTCGGTGAATCGAATATATACATCAGATCAAACATGATTTCGAGTGTAAGCGGTCTAGAAAGCCGTAAGAATAGCTGGGCAAACGTGTCTTTCATCGGAAGAAACTCCGATTTAAAAAGCATCATTGAGACGTGGTGATGCCCTCATCCATCCAAACATAAGTGTATGTTACGGTGTGCTATCTTGAAAAAAAACTGAAATTTGCATGTTTGGCTACTATCTACACAAATATAGTGCACGATATACCAATACAGACCAGCTACTCTTTTTTCTAAAAACGTGTTGGTTGGAAGGGTAGCAGTGCCTTCTAAGCTGATATAAAAAGCCTATGGATGTCTCGAGTATATTATTTAAAGATTTTGACACGTCATTTTATGTGTTCTTTGACGTTTCGGCCTTGTTGTTGGATGCGCAGTGCTTGAGGCTGGTGCTAATGGTTTTGAATGCGATATCGCAAGCGTTGTCAGCATTAAATAAAATGATCATCCATTGGGTTCAGGTCAACGAGCTTTTCGTCATAGGTATCCTTTTGTCGAAATCAGTCGGAGTTCACCTTCTCGGCTTAAAATCGCTCGGAATATACACGTCAGCATCGTCACCTCAGTGAAGTGGTAAGCAATTTCTTAACTTCGATTTAAACCAGAGGACACCTTCTCGGCTCAAAGCCATTTGTTTCTGTACGGATTATGCACGTCAGGGTCGTCGCTTCAGTGCAATGGCAAGCAATAGCTATACTTCGATCGCCAATGCTATTCTAGTAGCGAACGAACATATATATGTGGTTTGAAGCAGAATTTATCCTCGACAATATGAATGGATACTACCGTAGCAAGATTTGCCAGAATCTTTGGCGAACAAAATGGCGACCACTGCTGTCATTTTCAAAAAAACAGATAAGCAGGTGACAACATTAATCCCGCTTAAGTCACAGAGGTACATACAGAATCATTCAATGATCTACTTATATGTGCTTACGAGAATGCCCACGCTACTTATACTTCCGCGCAGCACGGTGGGAGATTACATGCTTCTGTTTAGAGCTATCTGGCACATTCGCACAGTTTAAATTTCTGTTTCAACTCTAATGGTAACCTTGAGGTTATTTGAAAAAAGACCATCAATGAAAATCTGCATTGGCTTGATCCTCAAATACCTCGACCTTTGCGGGATTTGACCGTGAATTGTGCCTCTCAATGAAGGATCCTTGAAACGGGAAATTTTTGGCATAGTACAGTCCAAACAATCAAGCAATGCTTGCAAGAGTCCCAGATAAATATTCACACCCGAGTTCACGTGTTCTGGACGTTTATGGGCAAATAGACGCAATAGAACACACCAGCGACATATAATCATTCGAATCGTCAAACCGTTGATCCTCACAGGTGTTTTAGTCAGCCCGAATAAACTTGCTCAATAACATCCTGCTCTAAGAACTCAGGTATGACAATGACTTTCACGAGCTGTTGGAAGTATCCAATGGCTAAATCAAAACCATTCAACAAGGAGCAACCTACTATGCTGTTACGAAGGCACGATTCTATGTATGCACCAGAATAGTGGCAAAGTCCAAATATATTAAGTGTACATAATTTTCACATCTCTCTTAGCCTTTTTAATGGACGCATAGGCGCCTTGTGGAGGACCTTCCCCACTTCGAGCCTCGCATGAAAAAAGCGTCCATGATGTAACGGGGCCGCAGAAGATGACGTGGTCACAGAATGATGTGAGTAACACAAGATGGTGTGACCACAAAGTAGTGTGGCCACACTTAAACAACAAGTCAGTACATTGCTGGAAAAGCCAGTAGTTATACATTTAATTAGGTTTTACTATATAGATTAGAAAACTATATATTTTGATATAGACGGCCTTGCCGCAGATAAAGCCGAGAAATACAGTTTACATTTCTAATGGAAGAGTCAATTAGCCTTGGGTTAAGGTTGTAGTTACTATTGGAGTAAGCGGATTGCGACCTGCTACACTCGTACTGATTCTAAGTATAGAACGAAGGTCACCGACCTTAGCTGAGCTTCCTCTAAGCGAAAGAGCTACGGCAGCTTCGCTGCACATGACTCTACGCAGGTCTCCTTATCAGGGATATTGACGTATAACAAAGTTTTGGCTCCTAGCACCAAATCAATATCATCACGTACTTCCCGATGCGAGTGCAAAACCAGCGGTAGTCTCTGGTGATACTTTTGCTAGAGTAGACTCGAGGAATACTTTGACGATAGAAAGTCGGACATTTCTTGCGAGTAGTGCTCTGCAAATGTTCTTGTTAAGAGACTAGTTTACGATTTGTTGTGGGCTAAGCTCCGTCTTCGTAATTAATGGTATCTGCCCGGCGATCTCCGCGGTCTTAGCGATCTCGACGTCTCGCATCTTTTTGCACACGTGAAGATGTATTATTTTTTTAGATTAGTGGGAACTTGTGCTTACTTGCAATATATGCTGTCGAAACACTTACCGCTTCAGAATGCTTCGTTTATTAAGGCGCCGCATGTAAGCGCTCAGCACACGAACGATCTTTTTGCTTGATGACTGCTAGCACAATGGGATCTTCAGCATGACCCGCGACTGTCACTTCTGCTACCCCTCACGACTATCTAAAAGCAAAGGATTAACAAGCGTGCCTTGTTGTCCCACAAACAGAGATAGGAACATATCTTGTTTTTTCTTACAAAAGGTATAGTCTTATCCAGACTTTATTGTTTGTATGATTAAGCGTGGAGGGGGTACCAAGCCACTCACACAGAGGAAGATTGTCTCTAAACCTCTGCAGTTTTGACCACGCAAAAATTAATGTTGCGCACAACACCAGAGGCGAATCGATAGCCTAAATGGCTACTAGTCCCTGACCCGCTCTGGGTTCAAGTAAAGTCAAGTATAGCTTACATTGTTTCTAGAAAAAAATATTCATAATCGAGCTATCTAAAGCATATCGTGGAATCAACAGCTCAGTCGTCCCCAAACCTTTCCTTTATGGAGCCCCAACACACTAATCTGACCAAAACCTCGTCCACAATACTTATCTAGAGACTTCTAGATTCGCTTTAAGTCCGGCGTAGTCTATACGTCACCACTAAAGGGTACTGAGGCCATGTCCAGGTCTCGTTGTCACACTCGAGTACTTCCCTGGAATCTCGTTGCGTGTGTTGAGTTCGAGCAATTTGATCCAATCTGCCAAATTATGAAAACAAATTAACATTCCGATTGAAGCTTAAACCAGCAGCATCTGTGAGCCTCAGAAATCAGCTTTGCTTTCTCGACTTTAGGTAAAAGAGAAAAGATTTCCAATGTAGCGTTCTTTTGAAGATGTCTTCAAGGATTCTAATACAGTGCTGGCCAAAAATATGTAGCCATGACTTTTTTTTTCAATTTTCAGCAAAATACCCTAAAACCGTGTAGAAACGCTATTGAGACAAAGAGCTTCCGGAGCATATCATTTTTTTCACAGACAAATTTTCGTTGCGGAGATCAAGAAGCGACCATCACTCTGACCCTGGACAAAAGTACGTAGCAGCGTGAAGTTCATGCGCTTTTGAGGATTGCATTAGCAGATATTATCTATTTAATGCTTCGTCTTCTTACCTTTT